TGCCCTCTCTTGATCTGGATAGAATAGTCCACACACGATCATAGAAGTTCACAGGCATTCTGTTCAATGCACCGTTTAGCCGACGAGTTTGTAGTGGTGTTCTGAATAAATCCACTCATCGATTTCCCTCAAACTTCAAAAATCTAAAAGGCAAAACTAACAGGAGGTGCCAATTCTTCCTTGTCATGAGTGCTGTGACCACATCTTTCACAACCGTGGGCGACAAGTCATAAATGCAACTTTTCTTAAACTCTGAAATGATCATGAAAATAAAGCCTTTTCAACATTTCGCTTGTTTTGAGGCATCTTAATAAGCCATGTAGGTTGGAGTGGTGACAATGTATTGTCAACCTTGAAGGCACATTCCACGACAGTCCATATATACCATTTCCACTTGGAATGCACCACTTTTCAAAACAAGCACACCGCTTTTCAAGCCAAAATCACTATTTTGTAATCGGATTCATCCACTTTTTAGGCCCGAAAACTAATCAACCCGTTCACGCTAGGCCACCGAGAGCCCCGCCCCTACGCCTACGTGTCAGCGTGGACATAAATTTTCAATTCTGATTCCATAACTTCTACTTCTATGACTTCTTTTGTCTTTTGCTCTTCTGCTCATATTGACTGAAAAAGACTGAACATCGACACATGGCCGACTTCGCCCACGTTACAAAGAGTTTGTCTTGAACTTCGAACTTTCAGAACTGTTTTCAACTTTGCTTATTTCTCATAAACTCTTCACAGAAGTGAAGTACTCATAGATGGCGGCGCGCATTCATGCACCGACGCTCTAAGCTCCGCCCCTTGACCTAGCCCCTTTGGATCTTTCTGCAAAATTCTGACTGTTTTCAAAGTTTTCACATTTCTGGACTGCGACAGGAAGCTCCGCCCACTTAAAAGGAGCCCCGAACACTTCCTAGAAAACGACGCGGATCGTAGTCTGAACTGGCATGTAGGTCTCATTTGTCACTCGGAACGAAACCAGGCAAAGTTTGTTCCGACTGACGAGAGAGACCCAACACGCCACTTCAGACTGAACCACCGATCCGCGTCGCCTTTCAAAAGTGGGCGGAGCTTCTCAGGGTAAGCGGGGCTCCGCCGCAGTCCCAAAATATCAAAATTTTGAAAGAGGTTAAAACTTTGCAAAAAGAAGCAAAGTGCGCGTGGTCAATGAGGTGTGGCTTGATATATGTGAAATGAATAAAGTTGAAAAAAAAATTTGTGAAAATGGAGAGTTCGCGACAAACTCTTTAAATTGGGCGGAGTCAGCGGTGTCGATGTTCAGGCCTTTTCAGTCAATATGAGCGGAACAGCAAAAGACAAGAACTTCACAGAAGCAGGATTTATGGAAAGAAAAATTGAAAATTCGTGACCGCGCTGGCAAGAAGGCATGGCCATCGGGGCGGCGCTCGCAGGATGTCCAACCACTGCGAGCTGATCTGGTTGATTAAGTGTCGGGTCTCAAAAGTGTGATGAATTTGGTTTGAAAACTGGTGAATTTGGTTTGAAAGCCGTGAATAAGCGAAAATGGTACATATGTAGGTTCAATAGTGAAGTGCGATGTGGTCCATCAAAGACGAAAACTTTGAAAGAAATCACAAAGAACCTGCAAAAAGGATTCATGAATGTGCAGCCTATTTTGAGTGACGTTAGGGGAAAACGCTGCACATCACTCGAAATAGGCTGCGAAAAATACTGCACTTAGTCAACGATCGAATACCAGGGACGCAGCCGCATTGGCTAAGTCACGAGGATCAGGCGGGCCGGGCACGTCATGCGTTTCGAAGATGACTTCTACTCATAAGCGATTACAGAATGGATTCCAAGCGATGTCAAACGAACATCTGGACGACCGCCTGCTCCATAGTCAGAGTTTTCGTCAAAAGCTCTAAACAAATGGTATGATTTTCATCGTGTCCCCCGATCACAGAGAAATCATTCGGCACTTAAGCAGGGACACAGGGACGAATGGAAATGCTACCGGCTCCCGCTCGAGCCTTCGATGATCAACGGGACCACGGGTAATACAGGTGAAAAACGTTGGCAACTGGACATTTGGATGAGGTCCCGCTCGCGGGTAA